GACATTTACATACACAGTGTCGTACATCTGGGCCATTTTATCTGACAGAAAACCAGATAATTTTAGATTTGTTGGATCCCACTTTTGCACTTTCATATCAATAAGACAGCTACATTTTATGAATGTGCGTTGAGATCCCTGGTCCAATAAGGCAGTTACATTTTTTGATTTAAGTCTTTTATCCAGAATTTTTACATTCACCACGGGTGAGGCTACTTCAGCTATTCCATCATCATTAACATTAGTTGCAATTTTTGCATTAGTAACTGTTGTTTTAGTGCTAACATCATTATCATTATTATGATAATTGTCATTCTTATTATCATTATACAAACCCTTACACATTACTACATGATGCCTTCCATTGTGACATTGATAACAATTATTAAGTTTGGCATAACAATCCTTTACATTATGGCTGCCTAAACATCTGATACATCTGTCAAGTTCTTCCAGTGTTACCACCTTAACATCCCATGAATCATAAGCATTAAAATTCTTGGAGAAATAAGTACCGTGGCAAGAGAGACAATCTCTCTCTTGCTTGACTTGTCCATTATTAGCCTGGCCATTCTTATTAAGGTACTTATTCCTCTTAATTTGATGTGGAGGACCATTATTTTTGGTTCCTGCCACTTGGTATGTGCCTATGCAACCCTTTTTATGGGATGAATTATGATGATTATTAACATTAGGATATTATTTCCATTTGTGAGACCTGACAGATACATCATAGTTATCATGTGTTACATTATTTGAATTATTTTGTTCAGTGGTCTGTAATTGAACAATTAATTCTTGTAGACCTAATCTTATTTCCTCTAGAGAAAAATAACCTTTGTGGTATTAGACAACAAGCCCAATTTATTCTGCAAGACAGCACTTAATATCCAGTCTGAATCACTAAAATTAAACCTAATACTCAAGGACTTAAGAGTGCTTTCTAAATTGTTGCAAATTATGGTAACTGCGTTCTGGAGTTCTTAAATTAATCACAATATTTGCTAAGTGTAATCTACTTTGCTCCCTATTACTATAGGTCACCTCTAACAAGTCAACTGCCTCCAGGTACCTAGAGTCAATATATTGGAATCCTTGATTCAGGGAATAAGCTTTCCTTCTGACCTGCCCTTTGAGATAAAATAATTTTGTGACTTCTTCTATGTCATTCCTCATGTGTACATCAGACTTAAATACTCACCAGAATTCCTCCCAGCTGTCTCCTGGACTAAATGTTAGTAGGCATAACTCTGGGAGTTTGGACAAAGACCTGGCATTTACATTAATAGGCTGGTCAACTAAAGTATTTACACAATTTAATTTATTTAATACCTCACTTTTACATGATAGTATTTTCTCTTCCAGCTCATAATATTGATTAATTAATAATTCCTTCTCATTATCATCTGCACAATTCACCAGTAATCTCCTTCATATTCTGTGTTATACAATTTATACGACTTATTTCTATTTTCGAATGATTCCAAATATAATTCTAAATTAACCTTATTCACAGTTTCTTCTGCCACCAGTTCCAGACATTTATTATAAGCTCTGGTCACGTGACCTTTTTTTGCATTTAATGAGGTCTTTATAGCCTTAATTCCCATGGACTTATCTGTATTAATTACATTAACCTCTTTTATATATTAGACTCAATGAACACTGGTTATGCAAATTATACAATGAGACATTGGTATAATTATCACAATATGTACTAACTATCCTAGCCAACTATTTCCTGGCTTAGCAAATTAATTATAATTATTATTATAATCTGAAAGAAGACAATTATCATTCCTAGCCTTAACTGTACTTAGCAAGTAAATTATAGCAATTACAATCCTAGCCTCACTGAGCATAGCAATTAATTTATATAATTACACAAATCCTTTAATTTTACAAATGTATAAGAAATACAATCGCAGCCCCACTGGGCATGCAAATCCAATTAATTGTGGCAGCTATAATCCATTGCACAAACACCATTAATTAGTTAAGTAATGTCAGTTATATGTGAACCCAGCAAGCCATTACTTTCAATTAAATCAATAAATTAAATTTTCATTGATTACATGTCAGAGTTCGTTAGGACCAAAGGCTTATTGTGAATTATTATTATATAAATTACCTGCAGGAGGTTTACAGGACATTACCTGAATTATTACCTGCAAGGTCGCCAAACTGTCACTCCCTAGAAGCCCACTCCCTACCACTCTCACAAAAAGCTAGACCTGACATTAATAATAATATTAAAACTAGCTACTCTGGAAATTAAAGTTGTGGACTGTATATAATTAGGCTTCCTGGGTACACAAAATATAATTGGTATTAACACTTATCATTTAATTACTGGAAGACAATGCTGATGGAACACGCCCTAACAGCTAGGATTTACGATGACCAAGGCAAAAACTACTGTACATTATAGGCAAGCATCACTTAGCAATGGTGTGTTGTTGAGGAGGATTCATTGAAATCCTCTATTTTCCTGTCCTGGTTGCCGACTTGTAAAGGTTTTCCATACTGCTTATCCCAGTTCTTCAGCAGGAACGTGTCAGCAACCTCCAAATTACGGACTAAGGCCGAGAAACCCCAACTGACTTTCGAGAACACCCGATCACATTGCAAAACTCGGTCCAGTATTCACTCTGCAGCTGTTCTCCTCCCCCTCCCATCCACTCGAAATTTTTCGAAAAGGTCAAATCAGCATCATATTTTATTACACAATTATTACATTATCCATTTATATGTTCTACATTTAGGAAATTATGTAAGAAATTTCCACAGTTATCATTTAGATAAACCACGCTAGACACAACACATCACATTTAGGTAAACTTCACGCTGGACACAACACATACCACATTTTCGAACAGTAAAAATTTAATTGCACAAAGGCTCCCGGAGGAAAATGTGGTGAAATTGCAGGTTGAGTTCATAATTTTATTTCGATTCATTGTCATTAATTCTTGCATTCTTGCAACTAAAACAATCCTAACACAATCGCTGATCATATATTTCATTTCGTCTTCACTCAAGTTAATCTCCCTCACAAATCTAATCTCCATTATGAATATATTTCCTGCAGTAGTAGTATCTTTCATATTCTGTAGTGCGCGCGACTCCGTAGTTTCATAATTACGGAGCACTGTATAGAGACGACGCAGACTTAACTTACTTTCCATATACTATTACTTTGTCAGGGGGACTTTTCCTCCATTTCTATCCTCATGCACTTCTTCACATACTCCCCATCAGATAATTCTCAGCCGCTCTCGGCAACATACTTCGCCACATGAAACTATAGCTACCTAAAACAAGGTGAGGTAATATTAATGTAAAGAAATCTTTAACTCATTTACAAATCATCGCCTCTGTTACAACACTATTTGTGTGGGAATATATTCATTTATAACCAAATACTAATTATTACTTTTAGTAGTTACCACATGTCTCCGTCGACCTCAGTTTATCTCATCTTCCGTCACACAACTGTACAGGAACTAGGCGCTTTATGTGGTGTCTCCCCTCAAGGAAGGTTCCTTGATGTTGGTGAGGGGCTCTTGATTAAGGGAATTGGATCTGTGCTCCAGTTCCCCGAATTAAGCCTGAATGCCTTCCACATCCCCCCCCCCCAGGCGCTGTATAATCCTCCGGGTTTAGCGCTTCCCCCTTGATTATAATAATAATAATATGTGTTGTCTGCTGACTTTTAAAAGTTTAAAGAGGAAGCAAAACTGTCGTCATTTTTTTAATTTTTTCATACTTTATTAGTCTTATTTGTTCCAAATGTTGGTGTAAATGACAGAATGTAAATGGTAGGTTGTAGATCAAATATGCTAGAGTATATATACTCTATAAATAGGGGTGTATATGGTGCAGTATAAATAATAGTGTATAAGGTACAGTATAAATAGTAGAGTGTGTATAGTAGTGTTAATGATAGAGTATTGATAGGAAAATGTAGATGTTAAAGCGGAGATGGTAAATAGTATGGTGAAAAGTATAGATGGTAGTTTATATAAAGTAGAATGTAGATAGTAGTCTCAAGTTAAAGTGTAAGTGACATAGCATACATGTAAAGTGTATGTAGTAGAGTGTTGATGGTATAGTGAAGATAGTTTGATTTCCAGTTTTCATGCTAGTAACTGTACCTACATATGATAAATTAGACACATGTGCAACTCTTGGGTAACTTTATTAAGGAAACATTTCGCCACACAGTGGCTTCATCAGTCCATACACAGGAGAAACTGAAGAACAGGAGGAGAATGAGGTAATCAGTCCCTCAACCTTGAGTCGATGCGGTCAGTCCATCAATCTTGAATAGAATACGGCATATGAGCGGAGAAGCAGCTTATAAACCGTATGGCAGGAGAGGTGCAGCAGTCGAAGGTGGTGTCACATTTGCCCAATGTGGAAGTAGTCGTGCCCAAGGGTTAGGCAAGCGAAGAATTCCCAAGTATTAAGATCCCAAGAAGTTGCAGTGTCTGACAGGATTGTAGATGAATGGTTCACAGAACCGACATTTTGATAAATTAGACACATGTGCAACTCTTGGGTATCTTAATTAAGCTGCTTCTCCCCTCATATGCCGTATTCTATTCAAGATTGATGGACTGACCACATCGACTCAAGGTTGAGGGACTGATTACCTCATTCTCCTCCTGTTCTTCAGTTTCTCCTGTGTATGGACTGATGAAGTCACTGTGTGGTGAAACGTTTCCTTAATAAAAATACCCAAGAGTTGCACATGTGTCTAATTTATCAACGTGTCGGTTCTGTGAACCATTCATCTACAATGTACCTACATATGCTAGTAACTGTACCCACCAATATATAGTCTATTCTCATAGAATACACTAAGTATGATAGACTGCTTCTTTATCTTCTTTGTCACACATAGTTTGATAGCTCATTACCTGACCTGGTTACTTTATTTTTCAGGACACTAAGAGTGATAAATGTATATCTGACATGACTGTTTTATCATCCAGGACACAATGATGGCTGCCTCTCACAACATGTTGGTGGCGGCGCTGCTGCTGGTAGTTCTCTGCTGCACTCTAACACCTGCTCACTCTAGTGAGTACCTCTTATTATTCACTCTTGTGTGAATGGAACGAAGCCTCAATATTCCGGAGGCTCCTCGTCCATTCTTAGGAAAACTATAGATAGTACACTATACAAAAAAAGTCGAAAATATAGACAAGTAGGGAATTAAAGTTGAAACAAGGTGTATGCAGTTTACTTAATGTAAAACAAACATGAAGTATCTCATAACTTAGTCAAAACAACGAAAAAATCAAACATATTGTGAAAGTGAATTAGTACTAAGAAAGGATCAAGAGGATCAAGAGGATCAAACTAGAGGTATGGATCTACCCATGATGTTGCTGACTTGTACTGATCCACAACGAATATTTACGGAATATTCAATATATTCACTAGAATATTCAGGATAGGAGCAGAAGATTCAGTCTTCAATATAAATTTAAAAACACACATCCACTACATAACAAGCTTGATACCTCATGAGAGTTGCATGGAAATCATGACGGCTTAGTTCAGTTGAACACGCATATTTCGTGATGCAGTAAACCAAGTGGGCGTGTTTCTTTCCACCTGTTGTCTATGTTCCCCATCAGTAAAATGGGTACCTGGGTGTTAGTCGACTGGTGTGGGTCGCATCCTGGGACACTGACCTAATTTGCCCGAGATGCTCAGCATAACAAGTGGCTTTCTATGTAGTAGTATGTCATTGTTGTCAGCTAGGACTGTATACCATGTACATGTACTTGTAGTAAATAAAGATTAAGTTGGCAGGAGTGTCGCGGGGGATAAGTCGGTAGAACACAAACAGCTCTCAGAATACCACAGTCACTCATACACTGTAACTTCCACAAAAGATGAGAGTAATGATGAGCAGCTCAGTCACAACTGTGCACCAACGTCGCTCAGCTAGTGGAACTGCTGACCTGATCAAAACACGTGGCGAGCTAACTGAAGCACGTAACACTTGGCGAGCTAACTGAAGCACGTAACACTTGGCGAGCTAACTGAAGCACATAACACGTGGCGAGCTAACTGAAGCACATAAAACGTGGCGAGCTAACTGAAGCACATAACACGTGGCGAGCTAACTGAAGAACATAACACGTGGCGAGCTAACTGAAGAACATAACACGTGGCTCACTCACTCGACCAGCTGGAGCCTTAAGGAAAAAACAGTATAAAGTTACGTTAGAAACTAAAGGTTCACAAAATTATTTTGTCTAACCAAAACTTTTTTGGATATACAAAAATCTGAGTAAGAAATAAGGAATTTGAATAGGACTTATGTAATGTTCTTACGTATTATTATAACGTCTTAATTACTTAAATATTAATGTAAACTTTCTCTGCCCAGCATATACATTGACAAACGGTAGAGCAGGTGTGTACTGCTGGCTTCAGGTGTGTACCACTGGATTCAGGTGTGTACCGCTGGCTTCAGGTGTGTACCACTGGATTCAGGTGTGTACCGCTGGCTTCAGGTGTGTACCACTGGATTCAGGTGTGTACCGCTGGCTTTAGGTGTGCACCGCTGACTTCAGGTGTATACCACTGTATTCAGGTGTGTACCGCTGGTTTCAGGTGTGTACCGCTGGCTTCAGGTGTGTACCGCTGATTTCAGGTGTGTACCGCTGGCTTCAAGTGTGTACCGTTGGCTTTAGGTGTGTCCGTTGGCTGTAGGTGTATGCTGCTGGCTTCAGGTGTGTACCGCTGGCTTCAGGTGTGTACTGGTTTCAGATCTGTACCACTGGCTTCAGGTGTGTACCCCTGGCTTCAGGTGTGTGCCGCAGGTTTTAGGTGTGTACCGCTGGCTTCAGGTGTGTACCGCTGGCTTCAGGTGTGTACCGCTGGCTTCAGGTGTGTACCGCTGGCTTCAGGTGTGTACCGCTGGCTTCAGGTGTGTACCGCTGATTTCAGGTGTGTACCGCTGGCTTCAAGTGTGTACCGTTGGCTTTAGGTGTGTCCGTTGGCTGTAGGTGTATGCTGCTGGCTTCAGGTGTGTACCGCTGGCTTCAGGTGTGTACTGGTTTCAGATCTGTACCACTTGCTTCAGGTGTGTACCACTTGCTTCAGGTGTGTACCACTGGCTTCAGGTGTGTACCCCTGGCTTCAGGTGTGTGCCGCAGGTTTTAGGTGTGTACCGCTGGCTTCAGGTGTGTACCGCTGGCTTCAGGTGTGTACCGCTGGCTTCAGGTGTGTACCGCTGGCTTCAGGTGTGTACCGCTGGCTTCAGGTGTGTACCGATGGCTTCAGGTGTGTACTGCTGGCTTCAGGTGTGTACCGCTGGCTTCAGGTGTGTACCGCTGGCTTCAGGTGTGTACCGCTGGCTTCAGGTGTGTACCGCTGGCTTCAGGTGTGTACCGCTGGCTTCAGGTGTGTACCGCTGGCTTCAGGTGTGTACCCCTGGCTTCAGGTGTATACCGCTGGCTTCAGGTGTGTACCCCTGGCTTCAGGTGTGTACCGCTGGCTTCAGGTGTGTACCGCTGGCTTCAGGTGTGTACCCCTGGCTTCAGGTGTGTACCGCTGGCTTCAGGTGTGTACCGCTGGCTTCAGGTGTGTACTCCTGGCTTCAGGTGTGTACCGCTGGCTTCAGGTGTGTACCGCTGGCTTCAGGTGTGTACCGCTGGCTTCAGTGTGTACCCTGGCTTCAGGTGTGTACCGCTGGCTTCAGGTGTGTACCCCTGGCTTCAGGTGTGTACCGCTGGCTTCAGGTGTGTACCCCTGGCTTCAGGTGTGTACCGATGGCTTCAGGTGTGTACCGCTGGCTTCAGGTGTGTACCGCTGGCTTCAGGTGTGTACCGCTGGCTTCAGGTGTGTACCGCTGGCTTCAAGTGTGTACCGCTGGCTTCAGGTGTGTACCGCTGGCTTCAGGTGTGTACCGCTGGCTTCAGGTGTGTACCGCTGGCTTCAGGTGTGTACCCCTGGCTTCAGGTGTGTACTGCTGGCTTCAGGTGTGTACCCCTGGCTTCAGGTGTGTACCCCTGGCTTCAGGTGTGTACCGCTGGCTTCAAGTGTCTGGTGGGGGTCGGAGTGACCATCGGTGTTAACATTAAACTGTAAACTTGTAAATATTGTAGACCAGAGTTACATAAATGACCCCTAGAGTAGGAGTCCGGCATTTTATTGTTTGAGGAAGGATGGTGGGGTGGGGGTTGAGGGTTGTGGGGAGGGTGTTGTGGGGTGGGGGTTGGGGTTGTGGGGGGGTGTTGTGGGGTGGGGGTTGTGGGGGGGGGGTGTTGTGGGGTGGGGGTGGGGTTGTGGGGGGGTGTTGTGGGGGGGGTGTTTGTGGGGGGGGTTGTGGGGGGGGTGTGTGGGGGGGGTGTGTGGGTGGGGGTGGTGGTTGTGGGGGGTGTTGTGGGGTGGGGTGGGGTTTGTGGGTGGGGGTGGGGGTTGTGGGGTGGGGGTGGGGGTGGGGGTTGTGGGGGGTGTTGTGGGGTGGGGGTTGTGGGGGGGGTGTTGTGGGGTGGGGGTGGGGTTGTGGGGGGGTGTTGTGGGGTGGGGGTGGGGGTTGTGGGGGGGTGTTGTGGGGTGGGGGTTGTGGGGGGGGTGTTGTGGGGTGGGGGTGGTGGTTGTGGGGGTGTTTGTGGGGTGGGGGGTTGTGGGGGGGGGTGTTGTGGGGTGGGGGGTTGTGGGGGGTGTTGTGGGGTGGTGGGGGGGTTTGTGGGGGGTGGAGGTTGGGGTGGGGTGAAGGATAATTAATCATAGAAGGAAGAAGACATTCAACTGATGTTAATAAAAATATTTAACAACATTGAGTTTCATTATCTATGGTTTCCTTCTGACCACAGTATGATAGAAACAGTTTGATAAATCTCTACAACACTAATACCTCGCCCTTCTTCCTTCTGAGCACAGTATGATAGAAACAGTTTGATAAATCTCTACAACACTAATACCTCGCCCTTCTTCATTCTGAGCACAGTATGATAGAAACAGTTTGATAATTCTCTACAACACTAATACCTCGCCCTTCTTCCTTCTGAGCACAGTATGATAGAAACAGTTTGATAATTCTCTACAACACTAATACCTCGCCCTTCTTCCTTCTGACCACAGTATGATAGAAACAGTTTGATAATTCTCTACAACACTAATACCTCGCCCTTCTTCCTTCTGACCACAGTATGATAGAAACAGTTTGATAATTCTCTACAACACTAATACCTCGCCCTTCTTCCTTCTGACCACAGTATGATAGAAACAGTTTGATAATTCTCTACAACACTAATACCTCGCCCTTCTTCCACACACACTCACCTAATCTTAATAATAGATTTCAACACTGTATGAATCCCATTGTTACTGTCGGAAAATAACAGTGAAACATAATTAGTTTTAATTCCCAGTGTGTAACTATCATATAGAACTGAGAAGCAGAACATTGAAGATGTAAAACAAGAACTTAGACGTAAATATTTACATATGAGCACACACACAGGTGATAAAAATTCGACTTTTTTTTTAATTAGGCCTCATATCGACTACATCCTTCTCTTTTAAGTTTATTTTGAGAGGCCATTTAAGGACCAATTTTCTAGGTTTGCAGATGGAATATAGAAAATTAGAGATGAGAGAAGTAAATAACACTTAAGTTTTTTCCTTCATGCAATGGAATAGTATAATAATGATGGTATAATTACCGCTAATATGTTACAAGAACACATGTACAACTAATGTCACAGGTTATTGTGGTTATATTTCGTTCTCCATGAGCTTTGTCAAGTTGTTACAAACAATACTGGGACAAGAACCTGTGTATGCGTGTATGTGTGTACTCACCTAGTTGTGGTTGCAGGAGTTGTCACAGCCCCTTGCTCCGCCTCTTCGCTGGTCGTTACTAGGTCACTCTTCCTGCTCCATGAGCTTTATCGTAACTCTTCTTAAATCTATGTATAGATTCTGCCCCCACTACGTCACTTCCCAGACTATTCTGCTTTCTGACAACTCTGTGGCTGAAGACGTACTTCCTAACATCCCTGTGATTCATCTAAGTCTTCAGCTTCCAATTGTGATCCCTTGTTGCTGTGTCC